GAATTGTGTTTTGGTTAAAGTTTATAGGACAAAATAGTAAGGTTCCCTTATTGAAATGTACTTAAAATAGATTAGATAAGAAATTATTTATCTGAAATGTGTTTCTATGTAGTTAAACCTTTCAAGATCATATATATTTATTTAAAAAAGGTAAATTATATAGTGACTTTAAAAAGGCGATCTTGAAATTATGTCCTCATGAATTTTTGTAAGCAAAGCACAAGATCTCCCAACTAAATGATGACAAAATCGTCTAATAAACCGTTTAGGGTCCAAAATAAATAATTAAATGAAATTACAACATCAAATATAATTTCATTTTGAGAAAATTGACTGTAGTTGGAAGTAAAAGCTGCTGCAACCGAATTAGATGTGGAAGAAAATTGTCTTCCTGTATGAATTTCATAATTTCCCCAAGTTTTAGTTAGGAAAGGCAAGCAATTTCCTCCTCGTCTAGGATAGGTGTGTGTGTGTGTGTATATATATATACATATAGATATCGAAAGACCCCCTCCACATCGAAATTTTCTTAGCAGCTTAAAGTTTAAAGTCCTAACTTTGCTGGCGAATTCGTTGGCTGGTTTCGGCGCTGTCTTTTGGTTTTGGCCATGTCAGTGGTTTTCGGTACACATGGTCATGTGTGGCGGACTTGGATTGGTTTTTCAATTTCTTCAACTGTTTGCTGATGTCATCGGCAGAAGTTCGGGGCAAAATATCAGGCTTTGTTATTTATATTCCTCGGGCTGCTGACCCACTCAACGCGGAGAGGGGTTAAGGGACAACCCTTTGTCACATTTTGCAATTTATGTTATTGTGTACACACACAGAGATCTGTATTTGTATCTGTATCTGTATCTTCCCTTGTTGGCATCTTCTCAGTGTTTATGTTCTGTGATTTCTATCAACAACTTTTACTTTTGCAAACAAATGCGGGGCGGCGCATCTCAACCAGAAAGCAATAAAAATTGTTTACAAACATTATTTGCGTATATCCTTGATCCGGAAGCACCTTCCAACTTTTCACTATTTAAATGCACAGAAAGAAATGTAGCTTTAGTTGTAATTAACGCAGTATTTGATAGGTAAAAGAGGTCAAAGGCTCCCCTGGATTTTAAACTAATTTTTAGTTACAAATAATAACCCATCATTAACCCATTATTAAAATGTTAATAAGTAGTGTTGTTTTGTGTGGATTTCTCTCTCTCTTCTTTTTATTTTTAAGCACCCACAATAACAGGCATTCGCCTTGTCACGCCCCTGTGTCCTTCTGGCAAGGATTCACTCCTATCTCTTGTTTGGGTTTCGGGCATTAAAGCTTCTCACACTCACTCTAATAAACTAATGTCTCTCCTTTGGGGCACTACCTTCTCCTGCTTCCCTTTTGCCTCTGGGACGGACGTCCCAAATCCATTGTTGGCCCCATAGTTTGCTTTGCGAAACATTTTATTTGTCGTTTCTTCTCTCGCTTGCTTTTCTCGGATTACTCGAAAATGTTTGCGTCAGATTTTGGGTCCTTTTGCCACACTGATAGGGGTCCCGGGGTTGTTAGAGGTATCCGGGCGGAGTAAAAAGGGCTAAAAAGGGTGCCCAGGTGTTGGATTCCCCTAACTTTTCCTAACATTTTTCTTGGCACTCGTTTTTTTTTCTTCTTTTTGGCCAGAAATTACTTGATTGAACTGGGAATATAGTAATGGGGCCAATGGTGCCAATAACTTAGGCTAGGCGGTTTAGGATTGTCAACTGGGGTACTGATTGAATATTTAATTAATAGTTTTCTGAGGTGAGATTAGGAGGATTAAGGAGTTGTTTTTGTATATTTATTGAAGAACTATTTACACATGAGTATACTAAATAAATTGGAATAGTTTAAAGCTTTTGAAAATTCCTAAAAGAATTTAATTAAAATTATAAAGGGCATGTACTTTTATTATAATTTATATAAAAGGGTTCGACTTTTAGTCCCCAGTTCCCATTTTAATCCAATTCCAGTTCGGGCTAATGAAGACCTTCTCCCTGTAGAGCAGTACTTCACTGTACCCATTTCCCCCTGCATTTCCATCTCGACGGCTGGAAAACAACTCCATTTAAGACGCATAAAGCTGGGGCAACATGTGTGGCTGGCAAACCGGGGGAAAATTCCTTATGCCAGGCAAAGTGAAACTGTCACTGCCAAGGTTTTCCTCCTCACTGCCGCTGCTGTTCTTTTTTTTCCGTTCCGCCGCTTTTCTTTTACTTTTTTTTGGCAGAGATGTGAAGGGAAACCCTGGGTTGCATATTTAAATTTATGATTATGTCGTTATGCTGTCTGCCCGCATTGCTTAGAGGCGGCCGAAGAAAAAGTGACAGCGGGCCAAACTTAATACAAATTTATGTGCAACATATTTTTGCACTTTTTTTTCCAGCATTCCGTACTATAAAGAGGGCCACCACCACCGCCTCATAAAGAAGGCTAACTGAGTGGTCAACATATGCTGCTCCTGTCCCCGGGGCGATGGATCCTACCAAGACATCAAGTTTGTTTTACTTGCCGGGCAACGCTTTAATGTTTCCCCATTAAAAAAGGAGAACATTAAAATTCCTTTTCGCTGCCGAGCCAGCGTTTAAATTGCATTTCAGCTCAGGGAAATGACAAATTCTTACATAATAAGAAAAGTCGGTAAGGGCCGCGAAGAGAAATGGGATCCATTTGGCATTTGTCAGGTGGGAGAAGCTGAGATGGTGTGAAATTGAGCCAAAGCTCCGCGTCTAACTCATTTTTAAATACAAATTTTATGTACATGGAAATAAAAGCAAGAAAGAATGGCGGCTAAAGTGTTTGATCACGACTATGGGATACCTGGTGGTTAGAGGAGAATACTTTGTGGCGAATTTCAAATATATTTTTTGGAGAAAAAAGGAAACATTTGAGGGAAATACAAAAATTTTAATTAAGTTTGGTTCGAAATATTGAATTTAAAATAGAATTTTTTTGATACTTATGATACTTATATATAATTGTAGGTCTTATAGCTCTTTTCTTGGTTGTGTTATATGTTTTTTAGCATCCGTTATATACCCCTGAATACTCTTTGTACTCCTCATAAAAATGAAGCAAAGAATTCTCAAATTTAGCTGCCGCTTTTGATTAATTTGTCTTGCCTAATGGCTGGCCATAAATTTCGAGTTAATAAAACGAGGCGAAATTCGCCTGGTTTGCCTTGTTCTAATAACAAAAATTTGTCACACGCCATTCTGACAGTTGTGTGTCACAACCACTTTTCTCCCTCCCTTCCGCTTCCGGCTCCTGACTGCTCCTGGCTGGCTTCTTTTGGTGCTGCCGCCACCGCAGAACTGTCAACTGGCAAGTGCCGCTGATGACATTGTGGCCAACTTTTCTCAGAGAAATTATGCTGGCAGTTTTCCCCCTCCCAACCCGAGGAGGGTTGATTGATACGACTCCTGGAGAGGACTGGTTGGTTCACTGGTAGGGTTAATCAATGGCCAGGCCGCACGCACCGAACAGCTAGAAATTCGATTAGAGGCGATGTCAGCCAGGCACTCGCCTCAAGTGTCACTTGCAATTACCCCGGGGTTTGAGGCATGGGGCAGCTCTTCTACAGCCGGGGCAAAGTGCATTCAAATTGGCTTAAACTAAGAACGTTAAGCGTGCAGCTGTCTAATTGTATTTCCCACCCTTTTAACCCCTGCCCCCCGGGTAAACCCTTTCTCCTTTGCAAGTAATGTAAAAGTGCCAGGGAACTTCAAGATTTATTAGCATCAAGATTAAAGCATTAAAAATTTCGCAGACTGTTTTTGCCTTACGCAGGCATTAAGGGGAGTAGGAGAGGGGATTCGGGGGCAACAACTGCCCCTTTTGGGGGCTGAGAGGTGTGTTTAGGGGATGCTGGGGCTACCGGAGGAAAGTGAGTGCAATTTTCGCTCGCTGGTCTACATCATCAATTTCGAGTGCCTATTCCTTCGCTTCCCCTTTGGTGGATACCCTTGACGAAAGTGTAGGTGTTTTTTTTAAATAGGTTAACATTTTTTATAACTATTCTAGAAAGTAGATTCATCTTCTAATAAAAAAAAAGCATTAGAACAAAAAAGAACTTTAAAACAGAATAGAAACGCTTTGAGTAAAGCAAAATATTCTAGTTTTCTTTATTGTCGTTCCAGAACTGGTTGGGAATTATAGGAATACAAGGGAATTATCTTTATTTATTTATTAATATGAGCCTTCTTAATTTTAACCTTATTAGCTCGTATTATTAAGTCTAAAAACAAAGTAAAATATACTACAAAATCCATCATAAGAGTAAGAGTACCCAAAAATTGGTTATACCAAGTTAACCTTAATTTCTGGTGTTGCTGTTGCTTCGCTTCCGCTGTTGTTATTGTTTTTGTTGTGGTTTCCACCGACAAGGATGAGGATAAAGCGGCTCCTTCTGCTGCTTTTCCTATTGCCGCTAGCTGTTTCCGCCGCAAGTGGAGTGTTGCGCAAAAATATCAGGCACAACAACAGTTTCGGATAGCGGCAACTACAGCAAGTACAACATTTCATTGCGCACTTTGTCGGTCAAAACTTTCGACATTAGCACTTAATTTACTGGCCCAACTTAATGAAGTCTACACTTGGCTAATTTACGCGAAATGCTTTAGCTACTTAAGGCGAACATCCATCGTCGCCCATGTTTCATGGCTCCATAGTCTCTAGTTACGTTAAAGTTCTCTTTCCAAGGTACTTTAATGACCTCAAAAAAGGTGATTATTCTATAAAGTAAACGGAATATATACCAATAAGTTGAGAATTATATTATATATGTGGGGCAAGCCTATATCAAATACACGTTTCAAGGAATAAATATTAATCCGCAGGGGTTGCCTTATCGAAAATTCATGTACTGACTTATGTATAATAATTTTTTATAACTCATATTTGTAGATAAGGGTTTCCAGTTCACAGAGGTCTGCAGCCAAAGCTTTGCTCAGTTGTGACAAATTCTTCACAGAGTAAAGTGAGTTTTTTTTTTAAGGAAATAAATGCTTCGATCCATGAAAGCCAAACACGTTCGCATGGTCATTGCTGGCCTCTCCCTAATTGTTTCCATCATCATCTTGGGAACAATACCCACCTGGGTGGAAAGTCAAAAATGTTGGGAAATCTGTGTGTGGAATCATGTTTGCCTGCTGCAAATTCTAGGCGGAGTATTCCTATTTGTGGGCTCTTTAAAGGTGAGAAATAATATTATATTTATTTAAAGAAATATTTAATTGTATTATATATTATTTAGAATAACTACTGGCTCTTCCTGCCCTGGCTAGTATCGTCCTGTATTTTTATTTACACATTGCTCTACAAGTCGGTATTATATTGGTATCACCTGGAGGGTAGAATATTAATGGTGGTTCCCCTTTTGCAAACCATAGCTGGTGAGCCTGAGGTTCTTCATTTCGTCTCTATATTTTAAAGAAATCTATTTTAAACACAGGTTTCTGGTGCTATTTTGTGGACGATGTCTTCCAGGACTTTCTCCTTTGGCACGGTCAGGGACATCACATAAATCTCAGTAATTGATCGCATTTTTTCCCTGTGAAATGCAATTGAGCTGAGTGTAAAGGCAAGTAAGTGTGAACATTGCGGTGGGTGGTGAGTGTGTGTGCTTGTGTGCTTTAGCCAAAAGTAAAATAAGCGTTAAAATGTCTGCTAACCCAGTGGAAACGACAGACAGGGTTTGAGTCTGCCATTGTGGGTCTCTTCTGGGGCTCCGTGTGGTATCGTTGCATGCGTATTGCATTACCCCACTCGCACCACCCACTTTCACCCCGCCCAACTTGTGTGTGGCACAAAGTGGCATATGAATAGATACATGTTTTGTTGCCTGTTTTGTTTGCTCCCCGCTCAGTCTGTCTGTGGGCTGGTTGTCGTAATCCAACAAGCAGACAGGTTAAATACACCGCAAGGACAGACTCAGACTCTCTCTCATACACACACATACACACAAGGGGCGGCTGCTGGAAAAAAGTGTGACAACGATGGGGAAAATTCAGGGTTTTTCCAGGGGGTTTGAGAATGGAGATAGAAGAGACTGCGACTCGAGTCGCGATTCAGCTGGGAAGCAGACGCAGCCAAACAAACAATAATCATGCAACAATAGTGAGAGCCGCAAACAAATTGCTTTTCTATGTCTACACGGTCATGTATGGGTATCTGTGTGCACTGCGATATTAAGGAGTAACTATAAATATAAATAAATTAACCAAGTCGATATAAGTAACTATATGAATTAGAAAAGGTACAATTAAATACTGGATGCCAAAGATAACAAAAGCTACTATATGTTTCGTAATCTTACTAATTTCTTTTAGATTTTAAGATAAATTAAGCTGTAATAACGTTCTTCAACTTATAAATAGAGACTCCATTCTTTCTAAAATATAATAATAATATAATTTCCCAAGTAACCATAATCTCGTGACATATTTTTCTTCTCAGTGAGTGTGTCATGTTCGGGTTCACTTGCAGATTAGTTTCGTTGCGAGTGTGTCTGTGTTTTTCTTTTTTTTGTATTATTTAGTTGTCTTTTTTTGTAGACGCACAACCACAGAGAATCAAAAGCCGCATGGGCGTAGCCCGTGACACCTACCGAAGGGGTGCTGTGCCAAGAGCACTGGCAATTAGAATGGAGAGCGTAAAGTTTGAACCTGGTCCCTGCTCCGCCTCAATTCAGATCCTGCGTCTTCCTTCTCAGTCTGTGACGGGCTTTTGTTGTCTGCAAAGTTTGCCTTTGACACAGGGTGCCTGTCCCGCCCCCCTTTTGGCACTCCCGCCCCTTTCCACCTGCGATGCCTGGAAAATGGAATCCATTCATTCAAATCTATGTGAGCCCAGTGAGTGTTAGTGTCTGTGCAGCTTGTTGAACAAAATTGAAAATTAACTATAAATTCTGTATGGCAAAACATGCAAACATGTTTGCGGAAATACCTGACAGACTCAGGACCCAGGGGGGGCAGGGAATGGTTACTGGGGGATGGGGATGACCAGACGAGGTGTCAAGCGTGGCAAACACCTTGGTGACACCGAACCCCTCACGGCACAAAGCGATTCATTGTTGCGAAATTTAATGCGAAAAATTCATTAAAAATAAAACACCTCAAGGGGAGAGGCGTCGAAAAAAAACAAAATACAAACAAAGTTTGAATCCACCGGGAGCCCAAATTGAATTGCCTGAAATTTGTGTGTTTTTTTCTTGTATATATATTTTATTTTGGGGGATACAGTGAAGCCTTTCAAAGGTGCTAAGTACACGAGGGAGGTGACAAGAAAAAAAAAACTGTCAAAAAACAAGAAGCGTGTTAACCCTCGTGACAAGTTATGGCTCAAGGGGTTTTTTGGAACACTCGAAATAAAATGTGCAACATATTCTCTTACAAATAATAAATTAATAATTTTAGGGGGATTTACTGATGAAAGCCCATAGTAAATACACTTTTTAAAGTGTAATAATAATAAAAATTACTTTGAAAGGGTTTTTTTTCTAGATATTGAAATGGTTTTTATTAAAAAGAAAAGGTAAATGCTTTTTTTCAGCTGTAAAAACACATTTAAATATAAAAATAAATGAATAAAAAAAGTGTTTACAGATGGTAAAACATATATTTATAATATAAATAAATTTAATAAAACACGCACAATAAAACTACAATATTTACAAAATTGTTTAAATACATTTTAAAAATGTAAAAAGCTTGATTTCTTTTTTGTCTGCATATAGCACAACATTTTCCTGATTATAAATGCTTTAGTTATACATTAAAAAAAATAACATGCTCAAAAAAATAAAGAGTATGACTTGCCCCAAAAATAATAAAAAGAAATTAAACCCAGACGGGAAATCAGGAAAAGGCGGAGTTATTCCAACGGCCAGGACCACCAGGAACAATCAGCTAGACTTAACTAATAAATTTCCTTGAATTCCACACGCAGTCAAGTCGAAGCGGAAATCATTTAAGCTGCCAAATCAGCCAGCCAGATGGTTCAAACAAAAGCTGTTTCTGGCCGAGAAGGTGCGGCCCTGGTACTGGCAACCGAATGGCCATCTGGATGGGAAACGGGACCTGGAACAGGATCTGGAGTTGGTTGCAAAAAGAAAGCGATTAATATTCATTCAGTGTCGCGCGTATATCACTTTTTATTTGCACAGGGTCGCCGCTCCGAGAGGGGATGGATGGGGCGGGGTTGAGGCGAGAAAGAAGAGGAATGCTGGGGCAGGCGCCGCCAAGTATGCAATGGAATTCGGCGCACGCAGCAGCAGGTGAGCTCGTGTGGCTGCTCCAGTTGCTCTGCGTTGGTGTCCGCGTTAATGTGTGTGTGTGAGCGTAGGTGTAAGCCAACGCACAATTACATACAACAATTTGTGCTTTGTTTCGTCCTGTGTGTAAATGTGTGTGAGTGTAAGTGGGAATCCAAATCACCAAAGAGCAATCGTGCAACAGCAACAGCAAAGGTAACATGGCCAGCAGCCCCAAGACTGAGGTGGATAACATAAATGCACTCCGAGAAAATTTAGAACTCTGCAAAATACTTGTCTTATTTCTCTAACAAAGATTATTAATAATTATTTAAATCTATAGTTTTAAAAGTTAACTACAATCATAGACAGGGACTACCTTAATCTTAACCTCCCCTCTTTTTCTCTCAGTGCCCGGGATACCGAGCTGGCCTGCGGAAATCCAGTTGGCTTTGTGCCGCTGACACCTCCCCATCGGTCCCCCCCCAAATTGGATGCCCAAAACATCAAGGCAAAGGAAGTAGAAGGAAGCCGGGAGAACCCCCAAAGGGGTGGACCTAACGTATGAGACGATTGTGGGGGTCGTACCAGCTCTTTTCGGAGCTCCGGCGTTTAGTTTTCAATGTGAAAATTGAGAAAAATTGCCAAACGAGTTGGTAAGCGATATTCTCGGCTCCGCCTGCCGTTTGGTCCGCTGCCAGGTGATGCTCCACTCCACCTCTATTGCTTTCACTCCACTCACTTATTGTTAGTTTCGCTCGCTTTGTTTTGACAACTTCTCGAGGAATGCTCTGGGATCGGAGGAGACGCAGCAGCAGCAGCAGCAGCAGTCACAAAGGCGACCTCCGTTTCGTCAAATAAAAGCTAGCATTTTTGGCTTCAGTTTACTTCCGTTTGCTTTGACTGCCACTGCCTTTGCCCCACCTCCGGACCGGCAATTGGAGACCCTAGAAGAAGCTGCTGGCAGCCATAAAATTACGATCCAGCAGAGAGCAAATGACGCGAAACAGTCGCACGGACATGGCCAAGAGCCTCTGAGCCAAAAAGAGCCTGGCGCAAGGGCAACGGAGCTCCAACAACACGTTCTCTGCATAAAAATCGTGCAGGCCATGCTAAAAACGTTTATCCCTTTTAGCCCCAGTGCGGCTCGGCAAGAATCCTACTCCCAACTCCCCCAATAACAATGGCCGAGCAACAAGAGCCTGAGACACAGTCAGAAAAACGTTGCAATCAAGTAAGATAAGTATTAATCCTGAGATGAAGAAATTGAATTGAGTTTAGGAATAGATTAGATATTAATATATATTTGTACTCCACGAAATACCTTTTTTACTTTATAATTCCCAAATAGTTCTAGCTAATAATTAAAGATATTATTATTTTAAAAGTTTAAGTATTACATTTTACATTGTAATTGTTGACTTTCTTAGACTTTGGATAGTTTATTCCTTCTTAAAAGTTTTTTTATCATTACCCCAATTTTAACCCCTTACCTCTGCAATACAAAACATTTTCTCTCAGTGCCTGGTAAGAACAATTTCTTCGTCTTTAGTTTCAATGGCCCCCACGGCGGCCCAAAACCATTTTAAATGGAACGTAAGCTGAGACTGATGGCCGGCTGTGGGAAAATCGGAGTTTGAGGCGGCAAAAGATAAAAAAAATAACATAAAGAAGTGGTGAGCAGGGGGGGTTGGCTAAATCGGTAGGTAGTCAGATAAATGCCGCATCATTGGTTATTTATATGCGTGCGGATCTCAGGTGGATGGCCCCGGACCCTCGGGCGATATATTTATTTGATTTTATTGATATACAAGCGGTCGTAAGTAGTGCATATCATCTATCTCGGCTAACGAGTGGCTCAAGTCCTGTCATTACGAAGGAGCCCGGCTCCAGGTGGAGTTCGACATGGGAAATTAATTAAATCGCATTCAAATGATTGGCTACGTGCCATTATTAATTCGAGCATAAATTATTCCACATGTCCTAATTCCAGGCGATTTTACTTGTATCTCGCTCCGTTCCCGCACCGCATATACTGTGGTCAATCACTTGATTGGCTCGGCTTACAGGAATTGATCTGAAATTTTAATGCAACACGTATTCGCACTTCTAATTTATGGCAATTAAGTGAAAGTTCTATAAAGGCCGAGGCAGCAGTTTAAGCCATGTGTCTCTCTAGGCTAACCACACATATTAATAAAATGGATTAATTAAAACTGTGTGGCTGGTGGTAAGTGAACTGCCTTTTAGGCAGGGTTTTAATCGGATTGCACTTTGGGACATTAGAAAAGAGGAATAATTACCCCGAAAGACAAAGAAAATGTGGCTGGAAGTGTTGTGAAGATGTTTGATATAAACAAGAGATGAATAGGATTTAATTATAGCAATAAATCAATTTGCATGGTTAAAGTTAATGACGATGTATTAGGACAATCTTGAAATCATTTTAGTATTTATATGTTTTTAATAACAGTAAATATTTAAAAAGAAGATAGGTAGGAACTAGTAGTAAGGCTCCTTTCTAGAGCCTCCAATTAAACCCAAAGAAGACTTTAAATATTTCAAGATTTTTCACATTAATTAGAAACCATTTAGAGTAAAAAAACTATAAAAATTGATCATATCAATAATAGTTACTTATACTTTAAGTAATTCAGATGCAGTATATGCAATCTAAATATTTTTAAAAATATTTTCTTTTTCAATTTCTAAAGTTGAAATTTTTTTATACAATTTGTATAATAAAGTAGTGTTTATACTTTGAAATATTTATTTATTTATTTATTTATTATTAAAGATAGAGAAGTTTACAAAACTAAACTAACTTAGTTGGTAAAGCGCTGGCAACAGGGCCTTCGGCTTTTAAGATTCATGATATTATATATATTGTTTTAATTACATATTTGACATTGTAGTTTGGCTACTTAGTTGGTAATTTTTATTTATATACATTTTGGGTATGTTTTTATATTTTGTGGTAAAGATTGGAAGATCTTAAGAAAATTAAGATTTTTTCTAGATTATCTGGGTTGAGTTCGCTGAGGAGATTTGTTGGGTCTGTGTTTTTGAAAATGGATAGTTTGGTGGGGAGGAGTGATGGGCAGGAGTTTAAAAGGTGGGATATGGTATTGTCGCCTTGGCAAAAAGGGCAGGGTTGAGGTTGGTTTTGGTTGAAGTAGTGCTCGTGTGTAAGTTTTGTGTGGCCTAGTCTAAGGCGTATTATTTTAGTTTGATCTAGTCTGCTTGATTTGGGATGGAAGGATCTGTAGTAGTTGTCGATGTTTGAATTGTTTTTGTTTATGGTTTTGTACCATTGATTACAGTGCTCTAAGCTAAGTTTATTTCTTGTGAGAAATTCTAGTTTTAAGTGTCTGTTAATGTCTGTTAAGTTAATGTTTGGGGTGTAAATAAGGGGCATGTTGCTTGTTGATTTTGCGGTGTGGTCGGCTAGCTCGTTGCCTGCTATGCCTACATGACCAGGGATCCACAATATTTTGATTTTCGGGGCTAGTTTTGTTATAAGTGATCTGATTTTGTTTGAGTAAAAGTTGTTGTTGTTAGTGTTTTTTATGGCGTCAATTGCTGAGAGAGAGTCAGAGCAGATCATGAACTTCCCCCTTGTGCTTTTGACTTGGTCGATCGCTACTAGGATGGCTATTATTTCAGCGGAAAGAACTGATGAGTATGGGGGTAGGATACCATATTTAACAATATTGGTATCTGTTGTGACTGCATATGATATAGTGGAGTTTATTTTTGATCCGTCTGTAAATATGAATTTGTGTGTTTTATGGTTGTCTTTGGTATGTTGGTATAGTTTTCTGTAAGTATCTGGTGGTGTAGTTTGTTTCTTGTGTGTTCTGAATGTTGTATCTATGAGATTTGGGAGATCCCAAGGTGGCTTGCATTTGTGTAGTTTTACTGGTTCGTAGGGTAGATTAAGTGCTTGGCAAAGATTTATTGTGCGGTCTATGGTTGATGGGTTTTTTTTTGATTTTCTTTGTTTGACGAGTTTGTGTATTGGGGTATCTTTTGAAAATATTAGGTTTTTCGTGAGTTTTGCTGTTTGGAGGTCTCGTTTTTGCTCTAATGGCAGGATGTTGGCTTCGTATAGCAAGTTATTAATGGGCGTGGTTCGGAAGGCGCCAAGGGCTAGCCGAATTGCAGTGTTAAACGGTGTTTTTATTTTGTTTAATACACTTTTGGGAGCGTGTCCGTATAGGAACAAGCCGTACTCAATTTTTGCTATTATTGTTGCTTTCGCAACGTGAAGTAGTGTTTGTGTATTGCAGTTGAATTTTTGGTTGGAGAGGCATTTAATTATATTTAGCTTTTGGTGTAGAGATGGAAGTAGTGATTTTATGTGTGTGTCCCATTTGTATTTAGTGTTTATGGTTATCCCTAAGATTTTGAGTGCAGATACTTGTTGTATTTGTGTATTGCTACAGCTTATGGTGCTAGTACAATTGTGTTTTCGACAAATATGGAGGTGTTTGCATTTAGCTAAGGATAGGGATGCTCCTGAGTATGAGCACCAACTGTTTATATTATGTAATACGTTGTCCATATTGAAATTAAGGCTTTTGTTTTTGTTGAAATTTATGATGAGGAAGAAATCATCAGCGTATGCGTTAAATTTAATTTCTTTGTGTATAGATATTATGTTTGAGAGCTTGTTGTATGCAATGAGAAATAGGATAACTGATATAGGTGATCCTTGTGGGATACCATTGGATAATGGAAGTGAATTGGAGATGTGCGGGCCTACTCTGACAATTATTTTCCTTTTGAGCATGAAGTTTTTGACGTAGTTTATTATTTTTGGGCCTGTTTTCCATTCCTGGAGTTGATCGATTATGGTGTGCACACCTACTCGATCAAAAGCTCTTGAAAAGTCAAGAGTGACGAGGGAGGTGTGCATTTTTGACTTCGTTATAAGATGGTCTACGTATTGTAGACTATCCGAAGTCGATTTGCCTTTTTTAAAGCCGAATTGGTTTTCATTAAGTAGTTTATTGTGGGTCACGAACCACCATAGTCTTTTTGCTATTATTTTGTCTAGTGTTTTTGCTAGACAGCAGTTGAGGGAAATGGGTCTGTATGAAGAGATGTTTGTTTTGTCGGACTTTGGCTTGAGGATCGGTATAACTAAACTTATTTTGTAGGCTTGAGGTATGTGGCTGTCGAAAATTTGGTTGAAAAGGTTTTTTATTCTGTTTTTTGTGGTATGTGAGCTTTTACTAATCATTTCGTAAGAGATTCTATTTAATCCTGGGGTGGATCCTTTAAGAGTTTGTAGTGCTGCAATCAGTTCAAGGTAGGTTATATTTTCCTCGATAGTTTGGGCTGTTGAGGTGGGTCTGTAATTGGCTGTTGTAATTTTATATTTGTTATTTCGGAATTCGTCTGAGAAGGTTGAATCGTTTGACAGTTCTGAGAAGTGTTTTCTTTTTTTTTTTATAAAAATGTTTCCACTTGACATTTTTAGAATTAACAAATTTTAAAATATTTATATTATTATTATTATTTTTCTTAACATATTTCCCTCGCTTAACATTTCCCGGCAGTGCGTATCTTAACAGCTGCTAAATTAACTGAAACGCCTGCGCTTGGCGACGTAAACAAACTGTTAAAAAGCCGGCTCGAGCCGGAAAAGTGTTCCCAGTAACAGTTAGAATGGCTTTGCCAGCTCGAATCATTGAAACCAAACTCGTTTTTCAACGAATGACAAACGAATAGAGCCGAGCTGAACTTAAAAGCCGAAGTTATAACCGAAAGTTTAAGTCACGATTCAGTTTCGCTCTTTGGAGAGACTTTTGAGAGAACATGTTTATTTCGAATATATTCAAGCCCATTCGTTAGTCTTCGGTTCAGTTCGGCTTTTGGGAGAAACCTATAAATACAAGTGCAAGCTAGTCATTCGGAAAAAAAATTTTCTTTTAACAAAAGTAACGTCACGTACCGCCGCGGCCGGAAAACGGAAAATAAACGTAAAGACTGAACGCGGATTCGAGGCAAAATAAACGGAAAATAAATGAAGCCAGATTTCCCGCTTCCAGCTGTTTTTAATTTTCATAAAAGTAACCAGATTTGACTGGAAATAAACCTGCGAGATCCTTGTTCAGGGTACTTTTAGTGAATTCGAAAGTGAAAAAGCGGAAAATCGCTGACTAAAACCTAAATGAATACTAGTGAATATATGTGTGAAAAGTGCAAGAAAATCAAAGCGAAGATCCATCGGTGATTAAGCCAAGAAGCCATTCGCTGACTAAACAGTTTCCAGTGAGGTGAATATACAAATCCGAGATCCCTCTGTCCTCCAATCAGAATCCCACCTGAGCGTTACCTGCCAAGCTTGTTTCACTTTGCATTACTCGCTGCCTGGCTGCTTGCTGACCAGTTGTTGATTCAAACCCGTTCTCTGCCAGGCTTAAAGGCGAACAAAAAAAATACAAAAAAAAAAAAAGAGACCTAGCAGCAGAAGGAGAAGTTATTTTTGGTCATCAGTTGTTGCCATTTGCATTGCTGCAGTGCAGCCAAGTTGGCCCATTCAGCGCATAAATTGCGAATGCAAACGGCCAAATTGTTATTGCCACTTAGAAGAGCTCTAAGCGCAATTCTCTCGCCTTTTTTTTTCCATCGAGCAGCGTCAGTATCTTGGCCAAACTGCAGTAACAGTAGCCACCTGGTCGCGACTAGCGCGAAAAAAAACGCTACCAAGACACAAAAGCTGGTCGCCAGCGATTGCATCGCATGTCGAGGTTGTTTCGCATGCCCTTGCCCCCCTCGTGGCCCCCTTTCAGCCCGCCTCTGCATAACCCCCTCTCCGGCCGGGCAAGAACAACAACAGAACAGAAAGAACTTCAAAAGCACTCCGACCCGCCGTCTGTTTTTTGGTGATTATGAGCGGAGAACCGCTGCAGAGGGTTAGACTCTGAGAAGAGAGTCGCGGGTTAAATGCCCTTTCAGTAGCTTGAAGAGTTAAAAAGAATAAAACATTTAGCTTCAATAGTGATAGAGGTATATATTATACAAAATTACAGTAGTTTATTTAGTAAATAAACCAGAGGGCGTGTAATTAACATTAATTAAATAGTCGCTTATCTTTATAATTTAACAAAAATATATTTTATTATTTATCTTCTACAATTCAAGAAGTAAATGTTCGGGACCAATTAATAACCACTAGAAGCTTGTAATATAAAATGATAAAATTATTGATGATGCCTGCAATTAATTAAAAAATTTTAAAGTAGTTTAATTGTATATTTCGACAGCATTAATTATTGATTATTTATTTCGGAAGTTATTATTTCCATTTAAATCATCAACATATTAAGTAGAGAAAAAGATTTATAATAAAAAATTAATAAGCTTTGATGGCAATCAATGCCGATAATGATATTAATTGACACAATAAATTATTTATTGCATTTTTCATTAAACATAGTTGCATTTAAGCTTATAAACTTTCAGTTTTTTAAAGATAAACAGCACAATATTTCAACAAATACTTGCAAGAACTCTCTAAATATTTATTTATATATTTAACTTTTGACTTTTAAGATCTAGATCAAGTTTTATATAATTTCCAAACATACAAAAATCAATAAATAATAATAATAATAAATTATAGTTACTTAAATGTGCCTCTAACTTGTCCAAAAAATATGCAAACTCAGCAAATATGCTTAATAATTAAAACAGGAAATAAGGTTTATCATTTGGGTAGAAAAACTAGGAATGATGAGGAAAAAGTGAACAATGAAAGGTTTTTGCTGCACTTTATGAGGTTTATTAAACTTCCTGGAAAATTAACAGGACAGTAAAACCATTCCCGTTAAGCGTGGAAAAACCACCAATTGTATTTACCCCTTTTTGGCCAGTTAGAGTATTAAATGCAAAAGGGCGCAAAAAGCGTTTCAGCCCTGTTCACTCCGGCACAAAAGAACCTGAGAAGATTGGCCAGAGCCGAAAAAAAAGGCCAAGGGAACCTGGCCGAAAAACGAAGGAGTGCAGAAGTGGGGAGAAGAGTGGCAGTGGCATGGGCGGCATGCTCAAAGCGTTTAAGCGCCTTTGACACTCAGCTGGTGGCATAAAGGAAGGGCCTGCCTTGGATTAGGGGTAGCGGGTGCCATGTGAGACAGCTGCCAATCAATGGCAGCCTAGGCCCATCACTTTGCGGCCATTCTGCTCGGTGGCATGTTGCATGTGTGTTACAGCAAAAAGAGAAGTATGTAGAAAACCAAATAGAAAACGGGGAAAAAAGCTGACGAAAAAGACGAAGAATTCAAAGAAAAAAGTGGAAAAACGTTTTCTAAAATTTTTCTGAACTTTCCTCTTTGGTCTTTTCGTCGACTTTTCGTGGACTGAGGAAATTATGCGATAATGGGAGCCAAAGTTCATTTTCATAAATAGTTAAGTTCAAAGTTGGTAACATTCTTCGGACGGAAGGCCAGTAAATTACCCACCTTGTGTACACAATCAATTGCAGGAGCGAGGGAGACATTTTCAGCTTATTAAATGGAATTAAGCAATTTCTGCGTTATTACCATGAATATTTGAAATCGAGGGTAAATACCTAAGCCAGGGGATTAGTTATTCTCGGTTATACGTATTACTCGCCGCACTTTTTCCCTTATTGATTCTTAGGCGGCAAATTAATGTTTTCATTGCGTTTTCCGGCGCCTTCCCAGCGGAAGTGTCGTGTGGCTCAATCAAACAAATACTCCAGCGCACAACACACAACCTGGCCGAGAAAAAGGAGCTACAGAAAAGTAACCAAATTACGCCTAATGGTTTTTTAATTGTAACAATAATTGCTGTCGCCATTGCATGAGAAGTCTCTGCTGGTGGGAGGAAAATCCAGTGAAAGAGCAGCAATCAAAGCTGTTAAGAAGGGTAAAAGGGTAGAATGGCTCCTAACCCTCCTATTAATGAGAGCTCTTGGAAAGCATTTAGATGCCAGCAAATTACCAAGCAGGCATACATGGCAAAAAAAGTCAAGGGAGAGTCCTTGAAACACTGAAAGCTGTGAAGGTTAGCTTAATGAGAGGGAAAATCAGGAAAAGCCATCAGAAATATATTCTAGAAAAATCTTTGGTAATTGGAAGTACACATAAGAGAGTTTTTATTATAATTATTTTCTTTAAGGACTAAATCTAGTTTAATATTTGTAAGTAAATCAAGAGGAAATCCCTGAAATCCTTTAATTCATTTTTTAAAAAATATGCTTACCATATAATCTAGAATTATAATTGCTAGAAAAGTGTAAATTTCATCACCTGCTTTAAGCTAAATCTATTTCTTTCCGTGCCTGAAAACCGAATCTGAGGTTCATGTTGCCGCTGCGCTTGTATGTTGCTGCTGTGCCCCCACATAATTGTGCCCCTTCATGTTTGTGACTCTTCGGTGTGTGTGTGCGTGCCTATAATTAAGGCCAAAAAAAGTGCTGGCCTATGCTTTTCCAATGGATGAAACAAAAGCCAGCAATGAGACGACTGCGAACCTTGAACTTGCTGGGCTCTTGTTGATGTTGCTGCTGTTGCTTGTGCTTCTATTTGGGTTTTGTTTGATTCCATTCATTGTTCAGTCGGCGGCAGTTGATTATGAGTGTTATGGTTTTTTCCTCCAGCTTTTCTCCTACTTGCCATTATTTTTTTGTTTTCTGCGTTATTTGGAAGAGCTGGCTGGCTTGTTGCTTTTTTGGTCTTTGGTCGTTTTTCGGTTAGCCAAAATAGCCTTTACGTACGTAGCATACTTTTCTGCGGTGAGGGTCGGGTCCGGGACTCTAATGTGCGCCATTTTGGTTTTATGCGGGCCAGTACTGTGTGTGTGTGTATGTCTGTGTGTGTGTGTGAGTGTTGGCCCATTTGCCCAGAGGTCATTATAGACGCTTGGCCCCGCTTGGCACGTTGTGGCCGCCAACTTCCGCTCTTGTTGCTCTTGATGTGGCTCCTGTTCCCGGAGCAAGTGTGGCTGATGTTGTTACTGTTGCCGCTGCTGCTGCTGCTGTTGCCACTTTGAGCCTTTTGGCTTTTGGCCGGGTCCAGCAGAGTTCTCTCTAAAGTGGCAATTTGTCTAGTTCTGTAAGCGCCTCTTTTAACGATAATGATGATTGCGCATTGTTGCGTTTTTATTTCACTGCACACGCACACTTACAGCCACTCGGAGTTATGTCCCAGGTTTTGTTCCTATATTCTTTTTTATCCTCCTTTTTTTCCCCAGACCGTTTTTGCCGTGTGTTTGCTTAGCATTTTCCGATTTTCATTCATTTCCCAGTCCCGCTCTGTCGCTCTCTCTCGGCCCCTTTCTTTTTGGTTCATTCATTCGTGGATTTTTATTACTTTCATTGCCATTTCTTATTCCATTTTGGCAGTCGTCTGTCAGTTGTCTGTCTTTTGGTTTATGCCCTTCGCTTTCTCTTACTTTTCCCTTTTTTTCCCCGCATTTTCCTCCCATTTTTGGTGGCTTTATTTGGTTCGTTTTGGCCGAAACGTGTCGTCGCCGTTGTTAATTTTTAGTGTACGAGTGTTGGACCAGTGTTTTTCGCATTTGCTTTATTGGCCATGGCCGAAATGCAATCCTGTCTAGACGCTCGGCTGTCCAGAGAGGCCTTTCGAGGACACACAGACACCCCAAAAAAGTCCCCTCATTTTATGTCCCTATTTGTTTTGGCCGAACTATTTTGATTTGATGGTACAAGCCAGGCTCTCGTACTCGTCGAATTTTGTTTTGATTTGGCCAATTCGGCATGACTGGTCTCGGTTTCGATTTATTTTACACATTTTTTTCTTCTCCACGCTATTTGTTTGGTAAATAAATTCGACAAAGTTTACATATAATTCTTGTCAATATTTAACCACACAAAATGCATTTCATATCAATTTTATTACGACGCTGCCTTCGTGTGTGTGTGTTGGTTGTGTAAAATCAATAAACATTTTGCGGTTACCGATGGTCAGTGTCGTGGCCCCAGTTGACATCCATCGATGGCAATCTCTCTCCGGACTTTGTCCGACGGCATCAGCTGATTACTTTATCACAAAAGCGTAAAATGAGCCACGCCGAGCCGGGGGGCAGGCTGGCTGGCTGGCACACACACATCGCACACACTCTACACACGCTCGCTCACAGGCATAACTTAGCCGGCATTCACGTGCTGCACTGAATGACTTTATCGACTGCTAAACGTCGCTTGGCCATTTGATGCGGATGTCGATGTGCACACGTTTAACCCACTGGCAAATATTCACACACACAGTTCACTGAAAGAAAAATTTAAGAG